ATTTCAAAATGACCTGCAGAGATCTCTCTCTTTTTTTTTTTTGGGTTTCTGCCAGCATCAAATAACAACTATATTTGGGGAGAAAAAATGCAAATTGGTCTTTTATTAGAGGAACAGGTGAGAGGATTGGGAGGATGCCTTACTTCTCTGGTTATTAGAGACTGATGTACGTTGAATATTTCAAATGGAAGTTTCAAAGGGAAAAGAGACAAATTATGAAGAGGCACAGGAGAATTCTAGCCTGTATTTGAAAGTTTGAGGGTTGGAAGAGAAGGGAAGAAGGAATATTAACCCTTTGCAACTTTATAATAGGAATTCTGTTTCCTTATATATTCCTATATAATTTCTGTATAATAGGAATCCCTATGTAATAGGAATTTCGCATGTAGATGGACATCTGACAGGGAAAAAGCTCTCTGTGCTCCAAGGAATGATACTGGGAATCCACAAATGCTGTCGGGAAAGTGGTCATCCAGTACTGATCAGAGAGGAAGAAGAAATAGGTGGTGGTCATTGGTGATTTGTTGAAAAGCACTACTACTGGTTGTATGTATCAATACACAAGAGACATTGTAAGAATAGATTTTATTTTATATACTCAGAGCACAGGCTCAGGGTGTCTAAAAATGGCCACTGAGCACCAAATAAAGTTTTTGTTAGACTTATACAGTCTCTGGTTTTTTGAAAAAAAGATATAATTGGATTTTATAGCTATAAAAAGGGAAAGATAAAGATTTACATTTCAAAAACAAACCAATAAAATTTATATCAAGCTGATGAAGAATTAGGAAGTTTACAGGTTGAAGATAGCAAAAGGGGAAAAATTGCATCAGGTCAAGTTGTAAAATGATTAACAAATCCTGAGATGACTTAATCTGGAATTTACAACTAGCAAATGGTTATAATAAAAATGACCTAGAAATTCTTAAGCGGTTAACTTATTTAATTAACTTAAGCAGTTAATGATCTGAGGTAAATTATTGAAATTCTTAGCTAAATTCCATATTATAAGGAAAGCCTCGGCCATTTACATGATTTTTCCTTACAAATAAAATGGCCATACTGGAGCCAAATAGAAAGGATATTAAAAGCTTAGAACATTGGTCACTCCCTGCTCAAGAGTACCAAAATCATTCTTATATCAACAGTAGGGTAGTATGCTGTCTTCCTGAGGCATGTATATGTGGCATATGATGGATTTATGAGACTCATTAAACCTAATGACCACCACCTAGTTTGTGGGGATAAGTGTTACTACCAAAAGGAAATTAAGTATAAGGACTTTATACTTGTTAACTTAGAATAAACAGTTTCAGGTGGGATTTAGTTGTATTTAGTTACCAATACAACAGTATGGTACTAGCATATAAAACTAAGAAATTGAATCTGACTTCTAATTTGTGAGTTCCATTCATCAGGACTAGATGAACTAGGTAACTGAAATAAATTAAGAATATGATTGCTGAGACAATTATTATAAAATTATAAAAAAATCATAGACTCAGTACAGCAACAATCCTTGTTATTCCTCATTGATCAGCAACAACCCTGATGCCTTAGCAGCCAAGTAGAAGGAACCTGTAGCTGGCATTGATCTTGGCCCTACTTATTCCTGCATGGGAGTCTTCAACACGGGCAAGTGGAGATCATTGCTAATGACCAAGGAAATGGGACCACCCCAAGCTATGCTGTCTTTACTGAAATAGAATATTTAATTGGTGATGCTGCAAAACAAAATCAAGTTGCAGTGAATTCTGCCAACACAGTAGTATGATTCCAAGCATGTGATTGGTTGCAGGTTTGATGATGTAGTTGTAGAGTCAGACATGAAGCATTGGTCTTTCACTGTGGTGAAGGATGTAGACATATCTAAGGTCTAAGTGGAGAAGAAAGAAGAAACCAAAATCTTCTATCGAGGAATATTTTTTATAGTCTTGATGAAGATAAAGGAAATTGAAGAAGTTTAACCTTGGGAAGACTATTACAAATGCTGTGGTCACAGTACCAGCCTACTTCAATGATTTCTAATGTTAGGCCACCAAAAATGATGGAAGTGATGGAGTACATGTGTTAGTGTACTCCAAATTATTAATGAACCAACTGCTGTTGCTGTTAATGATGGCATAGACAAAAAGGTGCCAAGAAAAATGTGTGAATCGTTGACCCCTTGGAAGTAGGTAGCATTTAGATGTCTCTATCATCTTTGAAGTCAAATCCACTCCTAATTGAATGGGACTTTGACAACTGTATGATCAGCCATTTCATTGCTAAGTTCAAGTGAAAACACAAGAAGGACATCAGTGAGAACAAGAGGGTTGTTACCATTTGTGAATGTGCAAGGAGTACCTTCTCTTCTACTACCCAGGCCAGTATTGAGATTGACTTCCTCTTTGAAGGTATTGGCTTCTATACCTCAGTTACTCATGCTCATTTTGAAGAGCTAAATGCTGATCTTTTCTGTGATACATAGGACCCTATGAAAAAGGTCTTTAAAGGATACCAAATTAGATAACTCATAGATTTATGACGTTGTCTTGGGGGGTGGTCCCACTCGCATCTCCAACATCCATAAACTTTTGTAGGACTTCTTTAATGATAAGGAGCTCCTTAAACAAGCTAAATCAATCCTGTTGAGGCTGTTGATTATAGTCCAGCTGTTCAGGCTGCCTTCTAAGACTTTAGTGGAAGATGAGAAACTCCAAGGCAAAATTAGTGATGAAGACAAAGCAGGAAGACAAATGTAATAAAATAATCATCTGGCTGAATAAGAACCAGGGCACCAAGACCTCTCAGACCATATTTTCACCTTAACTGTCTTCTATCAATCACTCAGCTACAAATTCCTCATCTTCTAAGACCTTGCTTCTTCACCACAGAAAGGCTGAATGGACCTTTCTCCCTCTCCCTTTCCACTTCTTGTTCTGGGAACTACTGTATAGTCAAATGCTATCATTCTAGTAAAAGCAGGTCAGTCAACAGCTTTATTCTACTCATCATCCCTGTGACTTTCCAGACCCAAGTACCTTTGAATGTGTAGAATTAAGTGTACTTGCTCAGTTTCTTAGAATAAGAATCTTGAACAGTGAAATTTACTTTTACCTAGCTGTTGTGCATACTTGGATAGTTTGACAGCTCTGTGATCTCGTCAATGTGGGTTCTTCTTCCAGTCATGCAGATCACCAACCACTTAGTTGCCTATCTGTTAAAGAATATGTTTTAAAGAATGCAATAAAAGTGGATTAAAGAAGATTTAATTGTAAGATTAAGTAGATTTAAGAGTAAAAAGAAAAGAAGAGAAAGAGGAAGACAAAGGAATAGGACAGAGGAGAGCTCATTCAAGAGTGCATTTCTGTGCTAACAAATCATCCCAGAATACCAGTGCTTTAGCCTCTAGGTTCTTTATTATTTTTGAAAGATCCTAGATCCATATTTATAGACATTTGTCATGTGACACCCAATAGGTATTTATTTAATGCTTACTGTGTGCCAGGTACTGTGGTTGGGATATAAAAAAAAATTAATCACAAAAATAATCCCTGTCCTCAAGGAGCTTACATATTAATGATACATAAAGAAGACACAGAGTAGAAGGAAGGTAACCTTAGTGGGGAAAGCATAAGTGAATGGGAGTGGTAAGGGATTAGGAAGCAATGTCAAGAGGTGGAAGTGACAAGGAAGAGCATTCTAGGTAAGAGGGGGGACAGCCAGTACAAAGTTATGAAGTGTCATATGTGAGGAGCAGTAAATGGGCCAGTATAGTTTGCTTATAGAATTTGTGGAGGAGTAGTATGTAAGAAAACCTGAAAGGTAGAAAAGAGAAATGTGAAGAACCTTAAACGCTAAGAGGATTTTTTATTTAATCTTAGAAGTAATAAAGAGCTCCAGGAGTTTATTGAACAGTGGGATGACACTGTGAGACCTATGCTTTAGGAAATTCACTTTGGCAGCCATGGAGGATGGTTTGGAGTGGAGGGAGACTTGAGATAGAGAGACCAAGTAGAAGGCTATTAGTATAGGTGAGAGGTGATGAGGGCCTGAACTAGTGTGGTGGGTTAGTTATTAGAAAGAATAGGATATAGATGAAGAATGCTGTGAAGGTAGAAAAGAAAAGATTTGACAGTAGACTGTGTAGGGTGCATGAGAGTGAAGAGTTGAGGATGATACTGAGGTTTCATGCCTGGGTAACTGGGAGGATTGTAGTGTTCTTGACTATAATAAGGAAGTTCAGAAAAGAGGAGAGTTTTGGGGGAGAGATAATGAGCTTTATTCTGTATCTGTTGAGTTTGAGATACCACTAGACATCCATTTTGAAATGTCCGATAGGCATTTGGAGATGAGGGATTGGAATTATCATCTGCATAGAGATGATATTTGAACCCATTTGAGTTAATGACATCACCAAATGAGATAGTATGGGGAGAAGAGAGAAGAAGGGACTAGGACAGAGCTTTTGGGATCACTTACACTGAGAGGAGATGACAAGGTTGAAGATTCAGTAAAGGAGACTGAAAAGGAGCAGTCAGAAAGATAGGAGAAGAAGTAGGAGACAGAACAGTGTCATGAAAATGTTGTGAGCAGTATTCATTAGGTGATCAATAGCATCAAATTCTGAGAGATTGAGAAAGTTGAAGAATGAGAAAAAGCCATTAGTTTTGGCAATTAAGAAATCATTGGTAACTTGACTAGTGCTTCATTTGTTTTGAGTAATAGACCCGCTACTCGTGTAACCTTAGTTAAAGTCCTTTAATTGCTCTGGATTTCCATTTCCTCATGTGTAAAATGAGAAGGTTGGACTAAGTAATATTTAAGGACCTTTCTAGCCCTAACATTCTGTGCCTCTCTTTATGCCTGCTTTGGGTTAACAAATAGTTATATCAGTTGCATGTATAAGAATGTGTTGTTAAAATGTGAAAGGAACATTCTTAATTATGGCACAAAACATCCATTTTAAATACCTACTTCCTCAAGCAGAAAATTTTCATAAATTTTTTAAATTCCAGGGATCAGATGTCTTTCCTGCTTTGGTCAAAAGTTGGAGCCTTACTTGCTATTGGAACAGTTAAAGGAAACTTATTTATATATAACCATCAGACTTCTCGCAAAATTCCTATACTGGGTATGTAGTATGTATGAAAATCAGACTATTGATTTTCTTAAATGTAAATTTAATAATGATTTAAAAGTTAACCAAAACCCCCCAAAACTCCATCATATATACTCTTCTGTAGTAGCAATATTATCTGTATGTAGTGTTATGAAGTTTTTTATCTAGTCTTTAATACTTTAATAGATAAATCATCAATATCTGTATGTAGTGTTATGAAGTTTTTTATCTAGTCTTTAATACTTTAATAGATAAATCATCAAATTGTTAAATTAATAACATAATAATTAGACAAATATTTTAATAAATTAATGATTCTACTTAAACTTTTGTTTATTAAGTGTAATACTCTCCATTAGAAAGAGGAATTTTAAATTCTGTTTAAGGAATAAAAGTGCTAAAATACAAAAAGACTTCATCTATAAGGTAGTCATAGATCCTGGGGGAAGTGTTGTAACATAGTTGTAGTATATAATGTTAATTTATTTTTCAGGTAAGCACACTAAACGAATAACATGTGGATGTTGGAGTTCTGAAAACTTACTGGCACTAGGTAGTGAAGATAAAATTATAACAGTTAGCAATCAGGAAGGTGATACAATAAAACAGGTAAAAAGTAACACCTGCATCAGGTTTTTAGTTTTTATTTTAATATTCTTTAAAGTCATTAACAAGCTCATGGTTATTATTGTTATTATTCTTGTAAAACACCATCTCGCTCTGCACTTGATATTAAACACATTGGACATACTCTTGTATTTCTTTTTTACCTTTCACTTGTAGGCTTCTCTATACCTGCTTCTTTCATTTCCTTGCTATCCTCTCTCACTTTAACTTAAAGCAATCTGGACTTTAGTCCCTCTCTCTCCCTTTCACTCTACTGGAAGTACATTCTTTAAAATCACCTAAAATCACCTAATTGCCAAACCTCATGGACTTTTATTATTTGTCAGTTATCTCCTTGATCTTATCTGATGCATTCAAATCCAATCACTAAAAATAAATAAATAAAAAAAGAATAGGATCTGGTTCAATGTCATTTTCATGTTAAATCAATTTCCTTTCTCCTCCTTCAGCTTTACCTTTGGGTTACACATCGGCCTCCTCTGTTCCTTTACCCAGCCAACTAGTGTGGGCCATGGAAGTATCCCCCTAAATGGCTACCAATCAAAAGCATCATCCTGAGACTTCATAGCCACAACCATTCAGATCCTTTTTACATGAAACTCTAAGACCAAAGGCATTCAGATAATTTTTACATACAACTCCAGGGCCATTGCTATTCAAATGACTCTTAAATAGTGTATGGAAGATAGCTAACCAAAATCAGGGTCAAAGAGTGATTTTATTGCTAGAAACTGTTAGAGGTTGTATTTGAATCAAGGTCTTCCTGGTCTATAATTTGTCAGAAGCCCTTTTGAAATAAGGTCTTTCTGACTTCTAAACCCAGACTTCTCTCTATCTTTTTCTTCAGAATATCATTCTTGAGAGATTCTAATCCATCATAGGCTGTTTTCCTTGTGGAATTTTATGCTATGGAAATCTACCTGTCCTTTTCCTCTACCTTTTGAAATCTGCTCTTCTAATATCTTGGATGCTAGTCAAACCATAGCCATCTTTCCTCTTCTTTATTCCAAATTTTGAGATGGAGTGGCCATTTCCTTCCAAGCTTCCTGTCATTTGAATATCAGAAACTAGTTACTTCTTGTTGAAAATAAGATCTGGAAATAGCTATTTCCTTCATTGAATCCTCTACCTTTTGAAGATTAAAGTTATTGTTAGAGAAAGTAAATTACTAGTTGCTCTTGGAGCACAGACTTCTAACAGATGTTCAAAAAATTGAAGTCTTCCATCACATTTACATCCTGCTTCTGTATCAAATTTTTAAAGTATTTTCCAAACTCCGTATCTATTATGTAGCCTATTATACACTCCAATTACAATGTTACTTCTGGTACTGAATATTGATTTATTTTGCTCAAATCCTTTCAACTATGTTTTCTCCCCTTTCTTGTACATAAGTTCATCTTCTTAATATACAGTGCTGCTGGGGGTGGAGCCAAGATGGCAGAGTAGCACGTAGTACAGTGAGCTTCTTTCCCCCACCCAAACAATTCATCCAAACAGATCTGTAAAATGTACCAAATTGATTCTTTTTTTCTGCTCATTTCACTTCCATTTTTAATTATTAACTAATTTATTTTTAGTTTTTAACATTCACTTCCGTAAGATTTTGAGTTCCAAATTTTCTCCCCATCTCACCCCTCCCCCCATCCCAAGGCAGTGTGGATTCTGAATTACCCCTTCCTGTAATCTGCCTTCCCTTCTATCCCCTCTCCCCTTATCCCTTTCCCCTTCTATTTTCCTGTAGGACAGGATAGATTTCTATACCCCATTGCCTGTATATCTTATTTTCCAGTTGCATGTGAAAACAATTTTTAACATTTGTTTTTAAAACTTTGGGTTCCAAATTTTCTCCCTTTCTCCCTCACCACCTATCCTCACTGAGAAGGCAAGCAACTTGATATAGGTTATACATGTGTAGTCATGCAAAACAATTCCATAGTAGTCATGTTGTGGAAAACTAACTATATTTCCCCTAATTCTATCCCTCTCCCCATTTATTCTATTCTCTCTTTTGACCCTGTCCCTCCTCAGAAGTGTTCGCTTCTGATTACCTCCTCCCCCAATCTGCCCTCCCCTCTATCATCCCCCTGCCTTCTTATCCCCCCCCATTTTCCTGTAGGGTAAGATGGATTTCCATACCCAATTGAGTGTGTATGGTATTCTCTCCTTAAGCCAGATCCTATGAGAATAAGATTCACTCATTCCCTCTCACCTTCCCCCCACTTCCCCTCCACTGTAAAAGCCTTTTCTTGTTTGTTTTATGTGAGATAATTTACCCCATTCTACCTCTCCCTTTCTCCTTTTCCCAGTATAATCCTTTCTCATCTCTTAATTTTATTCTCCAGATATCACCCCTTCATCTTCAACGCATCCTGTGCCCTCTATCTATCTGTTTGTCTGTACCTCTGTCTGTCTGTCTATCCATCTCCCTATCTATATATACATATAATTTTTTTCCCTCCAACTATCCTAATACTGACAAAGGTCTCATGAGTTACAAATATCATTTTTCCATGTAGGAATGTAAACAGTTCAACCTTAATAAGATTTTTTCTTTCCTTTACTTTTCGTGCTTCTCTTGAGTCTTGCATTTGAAAGTCAAATTTCCTATTCAGCTCTGGTCTTTTCATCAAGAATGCTTGAAAGTCCTCTATTTCACTGAATATCCATTTTTTTTTCCCCTGAAGGATTATACTGTTTTGCTGGGTAGGTGATTCTTGACTGTAATCCTATCTCCTTTGCCCTCTGGAATATTATATTCCAACGCCTCCAGTCCCTTAATGTAGAAGCTGCGAAGTATTATGTTATTCTGATTGTGTTTCCACAGTACTTGAATTGTTTCTTTCTGGCTGCTTGCAATATTTTCTCCTTGACCTGGCAACTCTGGAATTTGGCTATAATATTCCTAGGAGTTTTCCTTTGGGGATCTCTTTCGGGAGGTGATTGGTGGATTCTTTCAATTTCTATTTTGCCCTCTGGTTCTAAAATATCAGGGCAGTTTTCCTTGATAATTTCTTGAAAGATGATGTCTAGGCTCTTTTTTTGATCATGGCTTTCAGATAGTCCAATAATTTTTAAATTCTCTCTCCTGGATCTATTTTCCAGGTCAGTTGTTTTTCCAGTGAGGTAATTTCACATTGTCTTCTATTTTTTCATTCTTTTAGTTTTGTTTTACAATGTCTTGATTTCTCATAAAGTCACTAGCTTCCAGTTGCTTTGTTCTAATTTTTAAGGATGTATTTTCTTCAGCTAACTTTTAGAATTCCTTTTCCATTTGTCCAATTCTGCTTTTGAAGACATTCTTCTCCTCATTGGCCTTTTGGACCTCTTTTGCCATTTGGGTTAGGCTATTTTTTAAGGTGTTATTTTCTTCAGTATTTTGTTTTTCATGATTTTCTTGTATCGCTCTCATTTCTTTTCCCAGTTTTTCCTCTACTTCTCTTACTTGCTTCTCAAAATCCTTTTTGAGCTCTTCCACGGCCTGGAACTGATTCATATTTTTCTTGGAGGCTTTGGATGTAGAATCTTTGACTTTGTCTTCTTCTGGTTGTATGTTTTGATCTTCTTTGTCACCAAAGTAAGATTCTATGGTTTGACTTTTTTTTTTTGCACAGTTTGCTCACGTTCCCAGCCAATTACTTGAGTTTTAAACTCTTTGTTAAATTAGGGGTCTGCTTCCGGTGTGGAGAATGTACTGTCCCAAGCTTCAGGGGTTTTGTGCAGCTGTTTTCAGAGATAGTTCTAGGGAAACCTGAAATTTTCAGTTCTTCCGAGGTGGTATGATCAAGGATGAGGTGTTTACTCCTTTCCTGGCCTGGGCTGTGGTCTGTGAGTGATCATAAGCACTCTTTTCTGTCTTGGAACTGTGAGGAGGATCCCCTCTCTTTAACCACAGCAACTATACCACACCAGCATTCCTCCTTGCCATAGGACCACCACCCAGAACAGTAACCAGATACAAACATGGGCAAAACAAGAGATTCCTGCCTCAGTGCCAGTAAAGAGATCCCTGCAATCCCCCTCTGAGCAGCCACTCAATTGCCCCTTGGTCTGTGGGCCAAGAGCTCTGGAAGTAGCTGCTGCTCCAGCACTGTTCTGGGACTGGGGCTGGGACTGAGCTTTTCTCTTCTGGGTCATAGACTTTTCCTACTGACCTTCTAAGTTGTCTCTGGCATTTGTGGGTTTCTCTGAGAAGTCAGGAAACCACCACAGCTGCCTGTGATACAGTCCTCTGAGGCCTGCTGCAGGTTCACTGAGGCCTGGTCTTTGCCTGTGCGCCCACACTGAATTGCGTTTCTCTACCAGCACGGTGCAATAGACCCTTCCAGTCAACCATACGGGTTGTCTTGGGCTAGAGATTTGTTTCACTCTGTCTTTTTGTGGGTTCTGCTGCTCTAGAATTTATTTAGAGACATTTTTTACAAATATTTGGAGAGGTTTGGGGGAGAGCTCAGGCAAGTCACAGCTTTCATTCTGCCACCTTGGCTCTGCCCCCTCTACCAGACTGATTTTTTTTTTTTGGTGAGGCGATCAGGGTTAAGTGATTTGCCCAGGGTCACACAGCTAGTAAGTGATAAGTGTCTGAGGCTGGATTTGAACTCACGTCCTCCTGATTCCAAGGCCGGTGCACTATCTGCTGTGCCATCTAGCTGTCCCCAGATTGATTCTTGATTAGAAAATTAAAAATTAAAAAAAAAATAATGGTCATTTTCCTAGTCCAGGTCAACATGCAGAGATATACAGAGAGGTCTATGGACACTGAGAATGGGGGAGTACACCACACTGAACATTTCACTACAGGGAAAAGCTGTACTCCTGTACCCTAAGATAGTGTCAGTAGGACCAGCCCCTCCAGCAGGACCATTTACTCCACGAGTACACAGAACCCAGCCCTAACATCAAGTCCCAAGTCAGGAAGTAGGCTGGAAGAATGAGCAAACAAAAAAATTATACCATAAAAAACTATTATGGTGACAGATGCT